GGTAACTGTAAGAGCAGATTAAATCACCTTTTCCTGGCAAGAAGTTTCTACCCCATGTGAGAAATTGGACCATGGAATATCGCATTTTAAATCAAAGCAGTTCTTCTGGGAAAGAAAGTTTGGTCTGACTCCTCTGATCAGCAATGCCTAGAGCAGCATCTGCCTCACGCTGCGGCGACAAAGGAGAGGTTTGCAGCTGCATGCTCCCATCCCACCATGCTTGCATCCAGCTCTGTCTTAAAGTATTTATATTTTGCATAACCACCTGTCAGCCAGTATTTTTCTCAATATAAGAACATTACACTTCTTATATATAAAATATTTTCCGCCATGGATCTCCCTGCCAGTTCGGTTCTGGTATGAGTTGTACAGCTGATGGAAGCATGGGGAAGAAAGTGGCAGTCTACCACCACTCGCTTCATGTATTAATATGAAGTGGTCGTCACCTTTTGGTGCCTCAAGCCACATCAGTGCTATAAACAGTGGGAGGTACCAGACTGAGCCATAATTAAGGCTAAGGATGAGCCACCCTGAGGTGAACTGCCACAGTCACAGTGTCATCAGCCCAGGCTCACTGACCTATAGCTCTCCCTGTGACTGTATGCAGCTTCCATGCACTCAGTACAAGGGTGTCCGTAAACACTTACCATCAGCTGTCTTTGACCTCTGGAATCTGGACTACACTGAACTTGAGAGACAGCAGACATGCAGCACTTGCACGATGATGCTCTGTTAGAGTGTAACAGCGACGAAGCACTGCCAAATGCAACATATGTTGTCCTCAGAGCAGCATAAACTGAGATTCAAAGCACTGAAAAACACTTTTCCCCAGCCCAGCTGCTGGGAGCAATCCTCAGAATGCACTGGGGAAGAGTGTCTCTGCCTCAGCTCCTACCTTCAGGTTTGGTTTGGTGAGGAATGGCTGGGTAACTGTAGCCATGCTCCACTGAGATGGGCTTGCCCCAAGCCAGAGTGCAACCAGAGCAAGGCCAGCTGTTTCATCAGCTTGGTTACTATAAATAAATTAAGGCACAGTGCTGCCAACAAACTTTAAAATTCAATACAAATAGTTCTAATTTTGGAGAATGCCAGTAAACAGGGGAATTGTCCTAAACTACTATTTCCTTATGCACACTTGAAGGGGTAGAAATAATTTGGCCCAATAGATGTTTAAGCATGGATTCTACTGTTGAAAATATCCTGTATAGCAGAGTTAGTAAATTATCAGGGTTGTGAGGTGTACAAATAAAAGTCTGTTTCATATAAACTCCATTTGGGCAAATTCAGCTCCAGGTCCAAGGGGCAAAGTACAGCCTGTTTCTCTTACACAGTATCAGCAAAAAAAATTATAATTTTTTCAAGCTCAATTGTGCCTCCATCATCAGATATGTAATTCCACAGTCTTTAAGTTTTATAGCTAGAAGCTCTCTTCCTTCCACAGGAAGTCAGTGAAGTCTGAGAGGGAAAAGATTTTGATGCAAGCACCATTTTTTTCATATATCCCATCTGAAACAAGCCTATGAGGAGCTTCTATACATTATTTATCCCATATACTGGCCAGAATTAGTAACACATCCATTGGTTCCGATACCTTATCGGTACAGAGCTGTTTAGCTATATCGCGTTCAGGTGAAATAATGTACAGATACAGGTTTACTTGCTTGAGAACATGATGTGAATTTTACGGCTCAAGTTATCACAGGAATTTCTCCTCAAAGTTCCTCAGTTTCCCTGGGCAACACTGTCCTTCCTACATATGTCTTCATTTGCCCTGGTTTCATTTCAACACGTTTCTCTCATGGCTCAGACTATAGGAAGGAATGTCTATAAATCAACAACATCTTCACTAGCCTCATTCTTGCTCTCTCTTTCTTGCTTCTTGAAGTAGCCGCTTATCCGATAACTTTCTTATTTATCCAGTTTTACCAGCTTCAGTGTTCCTTACTTGTATTAATTTCCTTTTAAAATGACAACCAATTCAATTCTTTTTAAAGTGAAGATGAGATACAAAAATCACTCCCAATTGCATAAATAAGCATTTGTACTGCAGTATTAAAAACACAGCACTTCAGCAAAACTAATCTTGCATGAATTTACATACATCTCATCGCTTTTTAGGGCAAAGAACCTGTACTTTGGCACAAAGTAGCTCTTCTGTTGTGGAATGGCATTTATAATGACAGTACTAGGTAAATAACTCAGGGATCCACAGACAAAATTCATCCCTTAAGGTCATTATCTGGATTAATATAAGAAAATCCCCAAGAGAGTTTAGAAACTATGAAGCATGGAAATGGATTATACTAATCTGTGAATTCAGTGATACTTTTGTGGTCTGACAGATCAAATGCAGATAATATTTTCCACTCACTTATTACTCTTAGTGTTATCTATTATTATGTTGGCAGGGTATGTTTGTCCACAATACACATTTATACAAGACAGGTTATAGCAACAGACAATTATTTTCAACACACTTACCTCTATAAAACAACTTTTGCACAGCTCTGACGTACAATTTACATATAAATAGATATGTACACTAAACCCATTTTTTGTCCAGGCTTAGTCCTTCTATTTTAACTGTTCAAATCTATTTTTTTCTCAGATTAACAATAGTGTACTTTCTGTTCAGTCACAGTCTGCTGCTCTTCTTGGAGATCACAATTCTCAGTGAAGGCTACTTACAGGGCTAGGTGAGAAGCTTCAACACTGTCCCCACATAAAAAACCCCCTAGTTTCACTGGCCTTCCAAAAAACTCTAGCAAGCGTACTCAGGATTGCTTCTCCACTTGTAGTCCAATGGCTGCAGCCTTTACAGGCAACGTGACTTTTAACACTCATCTAGAAGCAGCACAGCTCTATGTTCTCCTCAAGGCAAAAGCATGACAGCCTCAGGAGAGTCCATCAGTGCATCTCTTCTGCCTCCAGGCTTGAGCTGCCTTGTGCCCAGCCAGTGCTGGAGAGCACACAGCTGCCGCTGCACCTATCTAATTATGTACTGCTCGGTACTGCACTGATGCCTAAGCCTGGAGACATGTTTCTGACATTAAAATTCGCAAGGCATCAAAACGTGTTCTTCCAGGGACACTCAGAGTTAAGTGCTGACCAGCTAAGATTCTAGATCACATCTGATGGCACCTATGTGTGGAGAGGTCTCATTTTAAAAGCCAACCCGAAGTCAGAGTCCAAAGCAAGATCCACCCAGAGATCAGCATGGTGCTACTCAGTGCAATCATCCTGCCTGTACTGCAGTATCTTTACAGTAGATGCACTCATGAGGAATGGGGGAGGAGCCCTATCTTAAATTCTGTCTGTATCTGTTTTGATATCCTTGTCCCCGAACCTTAGTGCCATGCAAAGGTCATAACCACCTGCCCATAAAATCATGATATTCAATATTTAATTATTTTATATAAAATAGAACAGCCCTAAGAAGACATATGTTGCTGCCTCAGGAGAGGCTGCAGCGTGCTGGCTAGATCACACTAATGAGAACTGGGGTGCATTGGTTCAAATTCTTGCCCTGAATCAGTGATGACATTTCCTTTTGGTACCCTGACACCTACTAGCAAATTCTTCAATGAGAGTTGCTCCTGGTGTTCTTGGGCTTTGCAAAAAACTTGTACATAAGCAAGAGGATAAGAACATAATGCTTTTAAAAAAATAATTAAAGCACTAATGGCTGAATGGGGAGAGCTGGATCCTGATTCCTATTTCAGGCAAAATGGAGGGTCCATTCCAGTGGCTAGATATTGCTTATAAGTTCACTTCTCCTTGGGGGAAATGGGGATGAACCCATTTCCACGTCCTTCTGACAGCTGGGATTTGGGGCAACCCCAAGGAATGTTGCTACTTCATTGCTTTTGGTGATAAAACACCTAATTTTCCTACAACGTAACAGGGTACTAAAGCACGTAGCTGTGTTTGTGCAGGAGCCAAGTCTGAGGAGTGATTGAGCCGTGGAACAGGCATCTGTGCTGGCTCTTCCACATCCCATCTCCAGGTGTTCATGGGAGAATCCACACCCTGCAGCGGGAAACTGTGTAGAGGTTTGTTACTCTAAAGCAGGCACTGACCAAGGCACCACTCCACAAGGCAGAGAAGAAAGCAATGCAATAAATTAGTGCACCATCTCTGGCTCAACGTGATGGCTGCAGAGAAAGCTCAGGAAGCTGTAAAATAAAGACACCATGAAATAAATGGAAAGATAATTTGTAATTAATCACTTTTATACAAGATGATGTAAAGCAGACTTAAAATTACAGAGAATTAGCCCGGCAATTGTAGCTTTAGCACACACTGTCATGGTTACTTCAAAACTGTCTATATATCACATTCTAACAGGCTTAAAGGAGTTTAAACAGAACTTTTAAACCATTTGCTTTTTAAATAAAGGAGACTATTTGTAGTAATAATACTTTTGATGAAGGGTTCAGAGTTAACTGAAACTGATAGATGTGACTGATGTCCATAGTAATTGCACACTTCTATAATCCTTCCTCACCCGTAAGAGTTTTGAGCTGACATTTTGGATATTATTAATATTCAGACAAAAATAACTTGTGGACAATAACATGTTCTGAACATGGTGGAGAATTAATCTATTTTGGTAAAACTGTTTAAGAATGATGGATACTTTTCCCTGCTTGAGTAAACACTAGCTAATTCTCCAGATCTCCCTTTTCTCCTCATGAAAATCCAAGTCCAAATGATTTCATGGATATTTAAAGGATGGTGCTGAATGCTGAATACAAAAAGACTAATTTCTCCACTTGATAAATACGCGATGCTATTTATTACATTGCAAACATTTCAGTACTGGAGTTTTTTTGGGTTTTAATTTGTAAGAGAGAACACAATGAATTTAGGAACAACAAAAAATTGAGGGAAAAAAAATGAGGCAGCTGAAACGTCACTGTTGAAATAGGCTCCAAATGAAAGTATCACACTTGGTTTTATTCTAGATAAGCAACAGAGCAGCTTGGAATAAAAATGGATTGAAATTTTCTTCATCTCTTTAATGAGTTCAAAGAGGCTGAACAAAGACATAGAAGAGTTGAACATTGCTGTGTGCAACACAGTAAACAGATTAAAATTTTATACCTGAGCAAAAAAAGGAATTTAACTATTAACTACAGCATGCAGAATAACTGTTATCACATAAACATAGCACACTGTTATTAGGTTACAGTCATTCAGAATTTCTTAATTTTTGAAAAGACTAAAGATGGAAAAAGCTCCAAGACAAGATGAGTATGTGACATAAAACCACAATAATGAAAAGCACTTTACCATCTCACAGCCTTTCCAGAGGATCAAAATTATCTGCTGTTTTATTATCCAGGCAGAAAGCAGCTACAATTCAAAGCCTGTGGAGTTAATAACACATTAGACATTTAAGCAGGTCCTGAAAACGAAAATATTGGCAGTTTATGAAGTGCTCACAAAAGACCTGAGCCTGCATTCCCTGCCCTCAAATGACACTTTAAAACACTGCATTTGTGAACTGTTTCCAGAGGAGAATGACAGGGAGGAATCTGCAGGGAATGACTGATAAGTCACAGGCTCGTGATTTTCTCACCAGCATAACAGCCAATTCTTAAGGAATAACTTTTCACCCCATTTGATTGACCAAAACCCACAATTCATTTTATGTAGAAACTTGACCTTTCCTCACATTGAATCTGTTGTTTGGGTGGGTATGGTGATTTTTTTTCTTTTTCCTTTTCTTTTTTTTTTACCCCCTAATGTACTTCAAATGTTTGAACCACTGTAGTACAAGTTTAAAAAAAATAATGTATTTCTCTTCTTAATTCCCCTGTCTTTGTAAAGATGCCTGTGGGAGAGAAGGGAACTGAAAAGTTTGAGCTTTAACCAGCACAGCCTATTCCCACCCAGACAGGCTTCTTTGTCCTGGCAGACTTCTGCTTTCCCTGATGTCCACATCCAATATAAAAACTACCTGCTCCCATCATCAGTATTCCTGCGCTACAAATTGCCTTCCTCTAGCAAAACCAGCACGCTCTGCCCTTGTCATTTAGACTTGTCAAAAAGATATGGGAGGGATAAAAGGGTCTCTTACTCTGTTAGAGACAGCCATAAACAAAGCCTATCCCTTTTATTTCCTTGTAGTCATATAGTTACATACTCGTGATATCAATTAACACCCCCAGATCATAGCACCTGCCTTGATTTCCTGCTACTTTTCTTTCACCCTTTATGAATAAAACTATGCATTAAAAATGCATGTATCAAAATGGATTTATCCCTTTGTCCACCACATATTGATTTCTTCTTTAAAGTCAGACATCTTAGACATTGGTAGGTTGTGTGAAAGAGTCCCCAGGGAATTGAATCCTCTTTGCTTCTAGTTTTTTCCTGGCTTTGAAAGCTGCTGATACTTCAGGGTGGATGGAGTCCAGCCGCTGTTCACACTGGAAGGCTGTGAGGAAGGCCGTCCTGTAGTTGTTATTCATCCAGCCATAGAGAAGGGGGTTAGCAAACGTTGAGCACATGGCAATGACGTGAAACACTGTGTAGATCAGTTTGTACTCTTTCAGGTCTAACACCTGACTGTCAATGTCACTGACTAACTGGAAGGTATGAAACGGCAGCCAGCTGACAGCAAACACCACAACCACACACACCAGCATCTTGGTGGTTTTCCGACGCCGGTGGTGGTAGTGGTCACTCCCTGCCCCAGGACTAACATGGTTCTTGAGCTTGGTCCAAATACGAGTGTAGGCATAGGAGATGACTGCCAGAGGCAGCACATACTGGATCAGGAGCATAGAGATGCTGTATATGGTGCCATAGTTGAGCTGCCCCTCTCCTGGCCACTTCTCAGAGCAAACCACAATCTTGAAGTCAGGAATGATCTCAATCAACGAGTACTCGCGGAAGATGGCCAGAGGACTTGCCAACAGGGCACTGACTGCCCAGGCAATTCCTATAATCAGGAAGCTGATTCGCTTAGAGATTTTGCTTTCCAAGTGGTAGACGATGCAGCGGTGACGATCCAGAGCAATCACAGTCAAAGTAACAGTGGACACATGAACAGCAAGCGCCTGGGCGTAAGGCACCAGGTGACACAACACTGGGCCCAGTTTCCATTCGCCCAAGAGCGTATAAACCAAAGTGAAGGGCAGGCACAGTGTATTCACCAGCAGGTCGGCCACGGCCAGATTGGCAATGAAGAAGTTAGTCACTGTGCGCATGCTTTTGAACTTGATGATCACGTGGATCACGAGGGAGTTTCCAATCACCCCCAACAGGATGATGGAGCAGTAAGCAAAGATGAGAATTATCTGCACTTCAACTAGTGTTGTGCTGTCCTTCAGTTCTGGTTTAGGGTCCAGAGCCAATTCATTGAGCGGTGTGGTGTATCTTGGCAAGTACAGCTTGGTGAACAGCTCCATTTTCATTTCATCTGTCTGGTTTTCTTCACCTACTGCTTCCAGGGGACCCATCCTTACAGCAGCCTGGTCTGAGCCACAGAGCTGCCCCTGAAAACAAAACAGTACAAGAACAAGCGGAAAGATTAGTCCACTTTGGCTAAGGCAAAAAGCAATGAGCTAAAGTACAGCTCTTTCCTGACCCACATGCTACATCACAGGATTAAGAGAAGATCTGTCTTAATATATTTAAATTCTGTTGCCCTTACATTTGAAGGCCAATCCCAGAATATTATTCAGGCATGACTCCTGCTGAAAATTGGGACAGATTTCAAAAGCATTTTAAAGACAAAGTTTGCCTAAGTAAATGCAGAAGTATTAAGATCCTGCTGAGCAGCATATCATTTTTTTACAATCCACTACCTAAAACTACTGCTGATTTAGCACATAACTTCCATTAATGTCTATGGGAATTCTACATGGAACAGCACCATCCAGTCTGTTATTAGCATAATAATCTTTCGATTTTTCTTTAACAAAAAGTGTTTCCTTTAAATAGTCACAAAATACTTATAGGTTTATGCCCCTCCTTAGTAGCAGTGAACTAATTACTGGGATCGTTCTTTAAGAAACTTTCTTTTAGAACATTTTGTGCCACAAGGCAAGTAAAAATATCACTGTAATAGAACTGAAATAATAGAATCTCTCTGAAATGACTGCGTAACTTATTCATGCTGAAATCAACACCAGAAACAATTAAAACACAGTTATACATAATATTCCCTTTCTGTGTTATGTTTGAGAAAACACAGCTCCTTGGAGGCTGCCAATCAGGCATTCATTTCTGACTGCAGTCGTAAAGAAGAGCAAAGAATTCCCCTGCTGATGTCAGTAAGAATTTCACCATTGGCATCAAAATCTCATTTTGTTTCCCTCCTTACACAGGCTGACACAAATTCTATGTTGCTCTAAGACTTTGGCAGGCACAACATATGGATGGTTTACAATTAATTGCTGACTTGGACTTCAGTCCTAGGCAGAACACGCATGTTCCCCTGGAAACTGCCCAGAGCATCAGTAGAACGCTAAGCAAGAACGACACACCTGGCAACTCCTTGCCTTGACCTGGGAAAACAGTAAGAAATTGCCTGGGCCAAGCAGGCTCACCAAGAAAACACCACTGAGGAGAAAGCCAAACCTGAGTTACTCACTCTATTTCCCATTCATACATCCCCTAAGGAAAGCAAGAGTAGAGATGAAATGTCACTTTCTTGCCATCAGGTGTTGCACACAGCTTAACCCATCTTAAATTCAGGTCCGCCTAAAAAAACAGGCTAGCTATTAATGTGTTTGGATTCACATGCCTTTTTTAAAATTCTTGTCCTTTCTTTTCAATCAGATCAACTTTCTTCCTTCCATTTTCAGCGGATTGTTTCAGAGGAACCGAGGTATGTTTTCATCCCTACCTCTGTTCCCAGTAACTGTCTATGAGTGACATCCTTCGGTGTGGTTTCCAAACTGAAAAAGGAGGATTGACTACCAGCAGGTGGCTGAGCCCTTTGTATTTGCTTCCATCTCACACAATATCCCAAAGAATTTCTCAGTGCAAAGTCTTTTTGCAAAAGCAACAGATTGACTGCATGAACTGAAAGGTATTTTTCCCCCAATGAAACAGGTCGAAATTATACTATACTGTTTAGTCTACATTTACTTCACAATTAATAGCGTAAACCTACTGTTTAGTCTACATTTACTTCACAATTAATAGCGTAAACCTGAGATGTAAAACACCCCAAGATACATCAGCTGAGATATACCAGCTGTTCATACTGGTGTACCCTGCTGATTTTAGCAATATAATCAATTTTCATCTACTAGACTAAGCATGGGTGGCAGGAAGGGATTCCTCATCAATACACTTTTAATACACCAGGTTAAAAATTTAAGAGATCCACCACAATTTGCACAGTCAAGGCTATGCAGTAGTTCAGAACTCTGCTGAGCATTTTCCTTCAACCTATGTACCTACACCCAGGAATTATGCTTGCATATATTGCTAGATTAGAGATTTGATGAGGTCCCACGACTGTCAGGTGCTCTAAAATCTCATAATTTTTTCAGTGCAAAATAAGAGCTGGTCATATTTACACACAGAAGTAGCAGTGTGAGAGTGATGGCAAATTTCACATTTTTTCCCCTTCTTTGACATAAATCCAGTCAGAAGGATGTAGCTTAGCCAAAAAACATAGCATCCCTTTCTTCCCAAAAATATTTTCACCCATTTCTCTAGTGCCTGACTTTCTGTTGATTCCTACTTCCAACATTTTCCTTTGAGCAGAGCCTTCTTTTGTTCTGACACTTTTTTAACTGCCCTGTTCGGGCTGATGAAAGATACTTTGGTCTTGTCAATAAGACAAAGCTGAGGGAGAGGGAAGGGACGACCATGCTTTCAAGCAGAGATGAGCTGGCATGTCAGCAAGCAATGAAATAAATTGGACAAGTTTGACATTGTCGGTGGGACAGTTATGTGGGCAAAATATCAGCTTCTTTCAAAGAATGGGGATAAAACTGAGATGGCATTTGAGACCACGCAGTGTTTGACAGAACCCTTTCTGTTCTTTTTTTGGTATAAACTCTCTAGGTGTGCATTTACTGGCACACCTTGCATACTGCACCACACTAGGGGTTTTTTCCAATTTCTTTTTCCCTCAGCAGTCAGATCCTCATGGGCAGGCATCAAATTGCGCCTAACTTTCGGCAGAGGAAGGCCCAGAGAGGATTTACATCGGTTCTGAGCGCAAGTAGGCAGAAAGAGCGGAATACGTGATCACATTAGCAAGCAGCATTCCCACCAGGACCGCAGTGCCTGCGCTGGGAAAGGGTCCGGGGTTGCTGGAGGCGAAGGCGGCAAGAGACGTGCCTCTGGGGTGCGGCGCCGCTGCCCTCCCGCCCCCGGGGACAGACACCCGCGCCCGGCGGGAGCCACTCGCGCCCGGGAGCTGCGGGGACCCCGCCGAGGCCCCGCGCCGGCCGCGCTCCTGGGTCCCCCCATTCCCGTTCTCACCTTCCTCCCGCCCCGGGGAGGCGAGCGCGGCCACCGCCGGCTGCAGCCACAGGAGCCGGTCTCGCAGGGCAGGGCGGGGCGCGGAGCGGAGCCCCCTCGCTCCGCAGCGGGGGCGGCTGCTCCCGCCTCCCACGGCACGGTCCCGCCGCCGCCCTCCCCTCGCACACTCACCGGGGCGGCTCTCTCCTGCCGGGCGATGGATGGGGCAGCAGCGCCGCTCGACCCGTCGAAAGTTTGGCGGCGGCGGCGGCCCCCGCGCGCCGGGAGGGCGGGGCAGGCCGGGGCTGGGCTCGGGCGGGACGCGGCGCCGGCTCCGCCCGCCGGGCTCCGGGAGCGGGGAAAAGGGTTGCAGGCAGCGCTGCCGGCGTGTGCCGGCAGCTTCTCGCTCGGGAGCCGACACCTGCAGCGATGCCGGCCTGAAAGTAGGAATTTCCAAGGTTGGGGGGGTGGGTCGAGCCAGCTCTGAGCTGATTTAGGCGCCGCCATGCCCGAGCCTGCTTCCTAGTTGTCCCAGTCCCGAAGATGCCTTCTGGGGCAACCTTTGCTGCAAACAACTGCTGAAATCCTTGGTTGCAAGCACCCCAGCTTGCACAGATTTGCTCTTCCTCAGAAGAAGATGTGGCTATTGCCAGAGCAGGTGTAAGAATAAATAAAGCATTTACATATTCTACCAAGAGCAAAATAAAATATTTCCTATTTATTTACAAGGTTGGAAAGGTAAAGACAACAGCTGCTGCTGCTTTTATTTGGTTCTGTGTCAATATCCTTTCAAAAAAGGCCTCTTTCCAGCCAGCTTGACTGAGAACTAGCTCCAGCCAGCATTGCTGTCCCTCTGGTAGGGTCCAGCTTTGTTAAATCAATGCATCAGTAGGTTCTGCTTAGGATTTTGCTGCATATCTGATGCCTCTCTCTAGGTATAACTTCTAATATTCAAGGGGTTGTCTTCTCAGTGCATATCTGGAGGACCTGATTTCCCAAATGGTGCTTCCACCCTGATTGTAGCTTCTAAGAATAGAAGCTGGGAGACCTTTCTCTGTGGCTAGCATAGCACTGATGCTTAAACAATTCTCTTCCCAAACCTTACAGAAGCTGCTCTCCTGAATAGGAATGCTTCTTTACTTCCTGTCACTTAGGTAAATTTACAGTCATATTTAAGGTAGTTTCAAGGATCAGCAATATAATTTTGCCTTTTCTGTCCTCCTTTTCTTCCAAAGGAGACTCTGTACAAAAGCTCTTCCTTTGTCAAAAGTAGTGCTCCTTGCTTTTGTTATAGCTCAATATTATGCCCTTATCAACAGCAGAGAATATTAATGGAGCATCAAGGAGTAACTTCAGTGATTTAGAGTTGGTTTTGAAATTCAAAACATGTCTTGAGAACCCCCTTGGATCTTTACTAATTCCAGCTATCTCTTCAGGAAGGGCCTTGCTCTTAGTCCTTCAGCACTTCTAAGACTGTTAATGGAATGCACATAGCTTATTACAAAATAGATTTCTTTGATGACTAAATAAAGAGCCAGGAGTTTCAATTCTCCTGCTCCTGTTTATTTCATTTCCCATATCAATCTATTTGTAGGATTTATTTTTTGGTCTATCAACAGACATAAATGCATGCCATGAGTTTTAGTAATTAGAGCTCTTGTATAATATATAGCTGTAACAGCCTGCAGTTCTTCCCTTTCCTTCTCTTACAAATAGTCAGCAATGGTGTTCCACTAATCTCAGGGGTGTTGCTATCGTGCCCTACTCTGCACACTCTTTCTAACTTAACGTATTTTTTGCTGCTCCTAATGTCTTGGAAAGTGCAGTGAAAAGAGCTACAAAGCTTTACAATCTGTCCAGCTCAGGATCCCATAACTAAGGGAAGGCTGTTCCTTACTTACACTTCCAGACTCCTGAAGGAAGTCAGGAAGTGCAAGTTCCTAGAAGCTGTAAGGGCTTGCTTCCCATGCAAGAAGGTGTTATGCCCAGTTACAAAGCAATTCTGTGTTCAGGCACAACTGAAATCCTTAATGAAAATGCATTGCTAATAAACAACAGCAGTTTCTATTGCTTGTAACAGAGTGGGTTCCATGAACACCACCCTGAACCAAAAGCCCATGAAAACAGTAACATCAAGGGCAGAAAGAGTCAAATAGCAAATGGGCTGTTCATTGTGAAATGTGCTGCTGAGTGACCACCTCCAAAGCGACTGTGGATACTTTGCTTTGTGTGCACTTGAATTTCCATCACATAAACCATGACAAGCCATGAGTCATTGAATCACAGAACCATATGAGGAGGGTGGAACTTCCATGTCCAGTCTTATGCTCAAAGCAGATCTAGATGCAGCAGGTTGTCCCAGGCTATGTCTCTAGGAGAGTTTTGAGTATCTCTGAAGTGAGGGATACTGCCCTTACCGGGCAGGCCATCCCAAGATTTGACAATTCTCTCAGTAAGACAAATTTTGTGTCAAGTCAGACTTTCCTGTGTTCCAGCTTGTACCAAATGCCTCTTGGCCTAGTCCTGTGCTCCAGTAGTTGTGAACTGTAGTTATATATTTTATATTTTTTTTTTTTTAGCCTTGGCTTCCTTAAGGCTGAGCAAGCTCAATTCTCTCAATCCTGCTTTGAATGTTATGTGGCCCAGCCTCAATCACCTTGGTGGCCCTTTGTTGGACTTACTTCAGTCTTTTTAGCACTGAGAGTCCCAGACTGAGCCAGTTGTGACCACAGATGTGGTCTCACAACTGATGAATAGAGGGGAATAGTTATTTCTCAACCTATTGGCTACACACTTGCTGTGTCTTGATATAGACTTCAAATTAGACTGTCTAAGTTGACTTCCCCTAAATAAATAAGCTACGTGAACTTTAAAACTTGTCTTCCTATTTAAGGCAAGCCTATAAATGAGTTTTTGCTGTGAATATGTATATGTACTAAGGTGAAATCTGATTATCTTAACAGCTTGAAAAAAAATGCCTTTTGGATTTATCTTGTTTCTGGTGTAAGTCACACTTACGGATGTATGACAGGGTGTAAGATATTTGATATACATAGTTTGCCTGCAGCAGTATCTGTTCAACTCTTTACTGTTAGAAAATTTTCTTGTCAAATTCTTTTCAATATAAAGGGTTTTTTCAGGGAGAACAATAAGCATTTCTGTCAACTCCTTATAAGTTTACCAGTTCTCAGGAGCAAAATAAAGGTCTGCATGTAGTACCCAACTTGAAGTAGTAATGACCTTTGTTTCAGTCATAGAACTCAGAAAGGTTTTCCAGTCCTTGTCCATTATATTGTCCAACATCAGATTTGCTGAAGGGGCAAATAAGGCTTGATGAATATCAGCAAGACAGAAAAGGCAGCAGTTCTCTTATCCCCTGTCCCAGACAACATTTCCTTGTTTCATTTTACTGTAACAGTTGAATTTAAAAGAAACCACTGCCCCTTGATCACTGACCTTTAAAAGCAGTGCTGTGCTTCATGCCACTCACTTGACCCAAACTCTGCCAGTCCTTAATCATGCAGATTTTCCTGGAGTGAGTTGGATTTCAGGTAATTAAGTTTTCTTCATAGCATGGACAATCTCTTAAAAAGAAAATGGAAAGGAAAAAGAATAATAACTGAAAACATGACCTTCAGAAAGAGTATGTGTCATGAATCTGTTAAATAGTACCCACACAGAGATCATATGGTGTAAACTTATATAAGACAAAGACTTGCTTAAAAGGCCAGAACAAATGTGTTTAAGTAGCTGAAGACTGAAGTTTCGACTTATATAGACGTGAATTATAGAAATGCATTTTCAAATGCATTTATAAACTGTTGTTTGTTCTCGTTCCCTTTTGGTTTAGTTTCAGTCTCACGGGTTCAATTCTGCTTATCTCTCTTTTTCAAATACAGTAATAAGAAACAGTATACATAAAAAAGTGTAATCAATCTGCCTTATATGATGAAGAGTATAAATACAGGTCAGTGGGGAATGAGATAAATTGGTAGGTGTGTATAAGTACTAACTTCGAGTTGCTAACAGCAGCACTTCACAGCCAGTGCTGGTTAAACAATCAGTTTAGTGCATCTAGTTCAGAAACTAATACACCAGGGGGTTAGTTCAATTGCCTGCTTGCTCTCAGGTGGTGACTGATTTCGGCACTGTTTCCACACAAGGCAGGGCTTCAGAGCTGAATGCTGTGTTTCAAAGTCTTCCCAAAGCATGTAGTGCATTGCATACACATTTCATTCAAAGAAAGTTAACACTTAAGTGGTTCATCCAAGAAATGACAGGTTTAGAGTTGTCCATTTAACACCAACGCAGCTATTTGTATTTACATACCTGTGATACAGCCTGTAAGTAAATGGACACATTATTTTTCTCCAGGGTTCATTCAGTGTTCCAATTTGGCAATGCTTGTGCAATGAGCACATATATAAAGGATGTATTTCTTTATATTCTCAGTATATATTTTGCTATCTTATTCCTTCTCTTTACCAACATGCTATCCTTCCTTTGCAGAGAATATAAGAATTGTCGTTTCTTCACAGGTTTATCTATGCACTTTTCACTGCTAGACCTTAGCCAGAAATACTTAACCTTTATTAAGATCTATTTTCTGTCATCTGAATTCAAAGAGGCTGACCAAACATTTAATTGGATTTAAAAATACAAGCAGTAAACCGTTTGACTGTATTTTTTTGTTGCTTGCAGTTTAGACAGTTTTTTCTTCAAACTCATAAAATCCTATATTCCCTTAATTCAACTTCTTTTTAAGTACAGAGATTTCTGTAAACTCTAAAATGTAATGTGGACAGTAACACTTCATTAAAGTATTCAGAGTTCGGCATACAATTAGTTGTTGCCATTTCTAAAGAGTTTTTATATGTTCTCGAGGCAAGCTCTGTTTATTTTAGAGCATTCATCATAGAGAATAGATTCTTACATATAGCTTAGAGCTTGAATATCGCACACACTTCAGTCCTCAGTGTCTAGTAGCAGGGAAAGCAGAGTATATCTACATGCTTTCCAAAAGTGAGTCAACTATATCTGCTTGCTGTATGCATCTTTTGACCTTTTCTCAGCCGGCCTGCATTAAGATGGAGAAGTTTGTTGATGTGGTTGGCATCCAGGTCCTGAAGAAATGCTTGGGAGAATCAATATAGAGTAACCTATCACAAATTTAATTATTTTGATGAATAATGGCATCCATGAATGAAGACAGCCTACTGATAATGCTGTCTGACATGTAATGCCATGTAAAACATAACATCTTTGTTGTGAGCATAAATA